ATCTATTTTTTTTTTTTGTTTCTTATAGAAAATATTTTAAATTAAATCTATTTTAAGAGTTGAAGTAAAATATTTTCACAGATTTGTTTCCAATTACTTCAATTATTTAAAATTTAAATTTTATGCACGTGGCATATGAAAAATAAATGCACTTTTTAATATTTTATTAAATATATATTCGATGAACATCTAATAAATATTTATCACATATATATTACACTGATTGAATTAAAAAAAATTTTTAATAAAATTTGTTTATGATTTTAAACAATTTATATATATATATATATATATATATATATAACAACACAAAAGTTTTATAATTATATTTTAAAAATGATTTATTAGCACACTACTGATTTGAAAGAAATTTTTTATAGAAAAAACCTTCAATATAAAAAACGTTTGATCAGTCATATGCATCCAAGGCTAGTTAGCGCTAAACTGATTCGCCAAGAAAATCGTCATAGCGAATATTAACATTGAAGCTGGTCAATTCTGATTTGATGGCAGATACCCAAATCTAAAAAAGGTCGAATGTCAAGTTCTATTAAGTAATTATTATTCGATTTATTAATTTAATATTATTTTATTGGTTCTATTATTATTTATTTTTTATTTTTAAAAAAATATATTTACTTTTAATTTAATTATGCAAAAATGTTTCATAATGTATATACATTAAAAATATCATTAATAGATTGTATTTTTATTAAAATTTTGTTTTGTTTATATAAATTTTGTTTATGTAAATAGACTATTAGTTAATAATTTACTAATTTAATAATAATTGTATTTAATAAAATTTAATTTAATAATTGTGATATTGATGTTAAGATAAATTTGTATAAATATGTATGTTCGTAATTTATACCTAAATAATATTTTATAGCATTTAATTGTAATTAAAATCTTTATTATTAATCTTTATTATACTAAATATTAAATTAATTGTGTATTTATAATAATTTTTTTAAAATCATCATATAAGAAATTTAATTTGTGTAAATTTGTTGAAAATTTATTATTTCTATATAAATTATTATTTTATTTTATGTGTCTAATACATATATATATATTTTAATTGCTGTCAGTAATTTCATCTAAAAGTTATGTTATTTAAACTATAGACGAAGTACAAAAATATAGAATACATTTTACTCCATAAATGAATACATTTTAGATTAGATTAATAGATATGATAAATCTAATGCTTTTTCATATTATAAAAATTTGAGGATCATTCCCTTACTATTTTTGTATTATATACAATGATATCGATTCAAATGATTGTAATTAATTGGAATTAAAATTGAATTTTATTGAATGAAATTAATAAAAACACAGACGAAATACAAATATCGATGAGAATAGATTTAGATTCAGAATAAATCTATTATGTTATCTCAATTTATCTAAAGTACAGATGAAGAATAGATTAATTATTTTATGAACTTTTATGGATCAAATTTAACTCGTACTGACTTAAAAATTTGACATTTTAACTGCCTACAAATAATACTACACGATGAAATCAAATACTTGATGTATCGCAAAAAAGTTGTTTGCATTTTATATCATGATAATTCTAAAAAGAACTAATTTTTTATATGTAAGAGAGAAAAAAAAAGAGAAAAATGAAGAATAAGAGAGATAAAAAGAAAGAGATTATTCTTCAACTTGATTGAAAAAATAATAATCTATAATCTGTGGAATTACTAAATGGAATTTCCATTTTCTCTTCTTTAATATTTTAGATATTATTTATTCATGCATTGATTTCTATTTATTATTATTTTTCTTACATAATTGTATTTTCAACAAAAGTGTGAAAAAGTGTGAAAAATGTATTTGTTGTATTCTCATAAGAAAAAAATTGCATTTATAAAAATTTGGCGATTTTAGTAATCATAATATTATATCAATTAATATCAGCACGTAACTTTGAAAGTTAATAACTCAATAAAGATTTAAAAAAAAATATATGTATAAATAATTTTAAAATACTTTTCTTTCTCATTATAGAATATATATATGATAAAAAAATATAGGATTCCATTTAAAAATTTAAATATGATTTTCATAGCATATTTAAAGATTATTTCAAAGTCAAATTTATTACAATATCCTCAATATTATACAATGTTATTGAAATATTTTTTCGTAAAATATTTTTGATACAAAAATAAAGTGTATACACTTAAAATGTACTGTATAAAATATATTAATAATAATAATTATATTAATATTACTACTAATTTATTTATATTAGTTATATATAATTGGATTTGATTATTAAATAAATTTAATAATATAAAAAGTGAAAAATATTTTGAGGAAATTTTGTAAAAAATTAATTATATTTATTATAACAATTATAGTTTAATGATCACAAGTCTTTTTCTATTAACTTTTATTTCTATTATTTATTTCTATTATTATATCTATATTATTTATAGCAAGAAAAAATCAAAGTTTAATAATATATATTATCTAATATATTTGATAATAAATTTTAAAGATTTATTAGGAATAAAATAAAATTAAAATAAATTATTATAAATTTTTTATTAATATATTATTTATAATATATAAAATATAATATATAAAGATTAATTTAATAAGTATAAAAAAATATAGATATAAGAATGAATTTATTATTTTTCTTGACTTTCAACTAATTAGTTCATTTTCAGCTATATTTATAAATGTCATTATTATCCCACTATTATCTCACTCCAGGCCTATTTCGCTCGATCGAACTAGCAATTCCAGATTCAGACTTGCGCGTTCTCTCATAAGGTCTCATAAGATTACCATAAGATAATTACTCATAAGATAAGATTATACTTCATAAGATTGTATGTAAAGAACTTAGAAACCTATTTATGAAGCGATATTCTAAAAAAATTCAAACATAAATAAATATTGTCGCCGTTCAAGTTGCCGCAACAATTCCAGGTATCAAAGAGTCACTGCTGAAGTTACGGCATTAACTCAAGTGAGGACTGAGAGTCACTGTTGGAGAGCAAAGGGTTATTATTTTTATCTATATAAAAAAAAAATTTTAAATACCTTTCTTTTATTTTCATAATCATTATTTATTCATAATTTATTTTTCCATAATTATTAGATAAATATATATTTATATATATTTATGTACATTTATTATTATTTATATTTGTATATATTAACGATATTGATCACGTGAAAAAAAATTTAATAATTTCAGAATACATAATATTTAATATTTCTAATAATAAATTATGCAATATTAAGAAAAAAAATATCAAACTATAACGTGCAATACTGTTATGATATTATTTTAAAAATATACATACAAAAAATAAATTCTGAATGTGTTAAAAGTCGCAAACAAATTTAATGATAAAAATTGTCATTCAAAGAAAAATTATTAATGAAACTATATTAAACCATATTAAATTATATAGTTTAATTTCTCTTAATAATATAAAAATCAGTGAATATATTATTATTATAATTATTATATATATTATTATACATGTATAATATATTATTATGTATATTATAAATATATATTTATGCATGCATCTATAATTATATTTATTTATATATTTATATACATATATTATATGCATATATGAATATTGCATATACATATAAATATTTCTTAATTTTAAGAAATTGAAGGCATTTATGTTTCTAATAAATATATATATATATAAAATATATAATATAAAATATTCAAAAATAAAAAATAATATATAAAAATAAAGAATTTTATAATAATTGTAATAAAATTTGCATAAATGTTTGCATAAATATTTCGTCATTTAAATATATTGTATTTGAACTGCTTATTTCATTAAAAATTTTGTAAATTTTGTAATTTATATAGTTCTTATATATAAATAGAGTATTTGAGCCCATTGTATCCTTATGAATTTTGATAATCATTATTAAATTATATTTTTATAATGTGCAGCACATTTATTTTTTTTATAAACCAATTTGAATTTTATGTACAGTTTCGGATATAATCCGAAATAGTTTATTATAATAACATATATTATAATTATATATATAATTATATAATAAATATAATTATATATTTATTATATAATAATATAACATTTATTATAATTTTATGACATTTAAAATATTGGAAAAATTATTAGAAAATACTAATAAATCTATAAGTATATGAACAATATATGCATCATTAGTATTTATTCGCGCTAAAATTCTTATTTATCAATAAAATAATTAAAATATACACATATTTACTATTATAATTAAAGTATGTGTATTTAAATAACATTGACAATATTGTTATGTCAATTTCTAATTATATATTCTCATTTTCGAGATCAATATCTTCTTCTAT